AGAAAATATTGCATATTCTTTCCTTTATGAACATTTCCTTTGTATAAGACAAGCTTATTTTTGCATTGTAAAAATTTTCCTGACGTGGAAAAACTGTGTAAAATGTATTTTATTAAGCAAAGAATAACCCAATGATAATAATACAACAATGCAGATATAAAACACATATATCAGCTATATCTTTTGGTCTTTTAAAATATAGATCTTGTGATCTAAAATAAATCAGTATTTAACAAAGGGAGAGTTTGCATATAGTTAAAAGGAAAAAAAATCTGGCAATATATAATAATTTGACACCCCCCCCTCACAAAAAAAGAGATAATTTGACCACATCTGCAGAATCATTGCAAGGGTTAGAAGTGAGGATAATCTAATCCAGTGGTTCTTAACCTGGGCAATATTGCGCCCCAGGGGGCGATTTCGTTTTTCAGGGGGGCGATGGAATGAAAAGGGGCGACGCAAGGGTGAAGGAATGAAAAGGGGGTGATATGGGGGCAATGGAGCGAGACGTTTTGGGGACACTTTTGAGACTTTTTTGTACAGTGAATCGTTGTATATCTGTCGTACAAAAACATCAGATCGCTCGCTATTAGTGGATTGAATTGTGTTTTCAAATGTTCCTCTAGCTAGCTTCAGTACAGAACGCCGTACATATGTGAATACGCATCGCTTATCTTCATGTGCATTGCGGTTTGTTCTTATGCCCTTTTTATATTTCTTTTTGCGTCTTAAATTTCACTTGTAATTCAATCATTAAATGTTACTGTTTTTCTTTTCGGGCATTTCACTTTCTTGCAATTGAATTTTGTTTTCAGTGTCATTACATTTAAGTGTCTTGAATAAATAAGATAATAATGAAATATATGTATCACAAAGTTTGGGAATAAAGTGACGGGTGGCACCAAATTTTTTTACACAGTTGAGATATGGGAAAAAGACTGGAAATAAATTATTTGCATTGATATGTCCAGATGACAATTTTAAAGAAAACAAAAAAAGTGTTTGCATAAATTGAAGAATTATTTCTTATGTTGTGATTGAGAGGGGGCGTGATGACAACTTCCTCATTGGCTCAAGGGGGCGATTCATTCAAAAAGATTAAGAACCACTGATCTAATCCAACTTCCTTCCCAGTGCAGGATATGGCTATTACAACATCTCTTTAAATTCTTCCAGTGGAGGAGAGTCCATCACCCCATGAAGTTCTCTGTTCCATTGTTAAACAGCTCTTATATTTAGGAAATATGTATTTGTTTGTTCGTTTAAAATATTTATATAGCTACCAATCTTCCAACCAACTCTGGGCAGCCCTATTCTTTCAGATGTTGAAAGATTTGCAGATAAGATGTTGGTTTTTACATATTTATTCAGTGTAGAAAAAAATGCCTATAAAAACAGAGTTCTCCTTGTCACCTCTCCGTTACTAAGAGAAATTGGACAAGAGAGATCCATGCTTTCAGATTCTCTTTGGTACTTAGTGGCAGTGTTGTTATGCCTATTTTTTGTAATCTTAATAAATTGGACAACCCAGAAAAATCTCTGTGGCAAGTTCATTCATTCTGTTAAAATATAATACTAATACTAATAATAGTTGGAAGGGACCTTGGAGGTCATCTAGTCCAACCCCCTGGTCAGACAGGAAACCATATACCATTTCGGACAAATGGCTATCCAGTCTCTTCTTAAAAACTTCCAGTGTTGGAGCATTCACCACTTCTGGAGGCAGGTTGTTCCACTGGTTAATTGTTCTAACTGTCAGGAAGTTTCTCCTTAGTTCTAGGTTGCTTCTCTCCTTGATTAGTTTCCACCCGTTGCTTCTTGTCCTGCCTTCAGGTGTTTTGGAAAATAGCTTGATTCCCTTTTTTTTTATTGCAGCCCCTGAGATATTGGAACACTGCTATCATGTCCCCCGTCCTTCTCTTCATTAGATTAGACATTCTCAATTCCAGCACCGTTCTTTATTTCTCCTCTAATCATCTTTGTTGCTCTTCTCTGTACTCTTTCTAGAGTCTCAACATCTTTTTTACATCGTGGTGACCAAAACTGGATACAGTATTCCAAGTGTGGCTTTACCAAGGCATTGTAAAGTAGTATTAATACTTCACGTGATCTTGATTCTATCCCTCTATTAATGCAGCCTAGCTCTGTGTTGGCTTTTTTGGCAGCTGCAGTGCACTGCTGGCTCATATTTAAGTGATTGTCCACTAGGACTCCAAGATCCCTCTTACAGTTACTACTATTGAGCAAGGTACCCCCTGGCCTATACTATACCTGTACATTTGGGGTTTTTCTTGCCTAAATGTAGAACCTTACTTTTTTCACCATTGAATTTCATTTTGTTAGATATTGCCCAGTGTTCAAGTCTGTTCAGATCCTCCTGTGTCTTAAGCCTGTCTTCTGGAGTGTTGGCTATTCCTGCCAGCTTAGTGTCATGTGCAAATTTGATGAGTTCCCCGTCTATCCCCTCATCCAAATCGTTGATGAAGATGTTGAAGAGCACTGGGTCCAGAACAGAGCCCTGGGGCACCCCACTACACACTTCCCTACATGTAGATGCAGTTCCATTGAGGACCACATGCTGAGTTCGGCCGGTCAGCCAGCTACGAATCCATCTGGTGGTGATGCTGTCTAACCCACATTTTTCTATCTTATCGAGTAGTAGGTTGTGATCTACTTTATCAAATGCCTTACTGAAGTCCAAGTAATTTATATCCACAGCATTCCTCTGGTCCACTAATTTTGTCACCTGCTCAAAGAATGCAATAAGATTTGTCTGGCATGATCTGTTTTTGACAAACGCATGTTGACTTTTAGTAATGACTTTGTTCTAGGTTCTAGTTCTCTCCTTGATTAGTTTCCATCCGTTGCTTCTTGTCCTGCCTTCAGGTGCTTTGGAAAATAGCTTGACTCCCTCTTCTTTGTGGCAGCCCCTGAGATATTGGAACACTGCTATCATGTCCCCCCTCATCCTTCTCTTCGTTAAACTAGACATACCCAATTTCAGCAGCCGTTCCTTATATGCTTTAGCCTCCAGTCCCCTAATCATCTTTGTTGCTCTTCTCTGTACTCTTTCTAGAATCTCAACATCTTTTTTACATCATGCAGTATTCCAAGTGTGGCCTTACCAAGGCATTGTAAAGTGGTATTAACACTTCATGTGATCTTGATTCTATCCCTCTGTTAATGCAGCCTAGCACTATGTTGGCTTTTTTGGCAGCTGCAGCACACTGCTGGCTCATATTTAAGTGATTGTCCACTAGGACTCTGAGGTCCCTCTCACAGTTACTGCTATTGAGCAAGGTACAACCTGTACTATACCTGTACATTTGTTTTTTCTTCCCTAAATGTAGAACCTTACTTTTTTCACCACTGAATTTCATTTTATTAGATAGTGCCCAATGTTCAAGTCTGTCCAGATCCTCCTGTATCTTAAGCCTGTCTTCTGGAGTGTTGGCTATTCCTGCCAGCTTGATGTCGTCTGCAAATTTGATGAGTTCCCCATCTATCCCCTCATCCAAATCGTTGATGAAGATGTTGAAGAGCACTGGGCCCAGAACAGAGCCCTGGGACACGCCACTACACACTTCCCTCCCTCCAGATGTGGTTCTATTGTGGTTTATTTAGTTTTGGTTTATTGAATCCAACTATAATAACATGTAGATTGTAGTGTGTTGCATATGTTATACGAACCCAATTCTAGCTTATTCAAAAATCATGCTGAAAAAACATGGTTGAGTTCAGATGCGATCAGCACTTATGTAGGTCACCTCCTGGTTGTCCATCCTTAACATTTTGGTTTGTGTTGTTCAACTGGCATGCTATCCCATTTTCACAGGTAGCTGCTTGCACAATCAGCTGCTTGAACGCTGAAGCCCAAGATGGATTTTATAACCTTCCTATAAAAGATATTCTCAACTTTTGGACCACTTCCAAAATATATGTCCATTATTCTTGGAGCAAATCTAAAGTGCTCTTTTTAACAAAAAAAAAAAAAATCAAAAACAGGAATGGAACAGCAGCAGCAAAACTAACATGAAGAGGGACAATAAAACCCACAATCATTCCAGTTGGGTGCAGCAGTGGACACTGATCATAGTGATTTTTCTGCTAATCTATGGGGCAATATGTCAAAAAAGGGGGGGCTTCTGTATAGTGGATGAAGCAGAATGGAGCTCAGCTGGAAATTTTTGTACTGTGCCAACTTATCAGCCTTTTTATTTTGGGCAATTTTCTTGTGTCCCACACCCGTACTGTGCCAACTTACTTATCAACCTTTTTGTTTTGAGAAATGTGTCTAACACTGTCCCACTAGATATGAGCCCAAAATTAGCTGAAGTGACAGTGCTGCAAGACATTTATAGTATTTTCAATATGCTTGTTAAACTATCAATGTAACTCAGCTTCTGTGGAAGGAAAGGTACTGGATTCACAGGCTCCAATCTCCCAACCTCTATCACATTAAGAAAGGCATTAGGTGGATGTTTTCTCAGTTAGCAAGTGGAAGTGGGATCCCTGGATTGCAGCCTCCTGAACTAACACAGTAAGGACATTACCTTCTGACCCCTTTACTGAAGGATAACAGAAATCAGCTATCAAGACAGATTACTGTATATTGGCCTACTTTTGTTTTAGTAGAAGAAAGCAGGTTAAAGTTGCTCCCTGGAAGAGGCAATTGTTTTAAAAGGTCTCTTTTCATAGCACTCCTTTGCCTCTTGTGTTTTGTTTGGAATGTGTATATCCATCTTGTTCATGAGGTTCCTGAAGACCAGCATTCAGAGGACAAATTCTTATTGCAAATGAATCCACCTGGGTTATAGAAGCTTTGAATTTCTAGTTAAATCTATGTTTCCACATTTTTAGATGCAAGGTTTTTGCAAGGGTTACTTGTTATGCAATTGCATGCAAGCAGCACCTCAGTATTCCTCCCTTTAATATGTATGATTTGGAGATATGGTATTTTTCATTGTTCTTCACTGAACACAATAAACATTTCAGAGAGATAACATTTTAGAAAATAATTTTATTCCCATGATAATGATTGGTTTGGATTATTGAAGCATTGAAGAACCAGTTGTATAATGAGGCAAAAACTTAATAAAATTTATATTCTATTGATAATAATCTTTCTCTTTTGCTCCCCACTCAAATTAAGCAACAAAACAACTCAAAGAGGAGAATAAAACCAAGAGGTACAAATAGGTAGGGGATGAAGATGATCAATCTTAATTGCTTGAAAATTCAACAATATATTCTTAAAAATATTTCCATCACCACCCCTTTTTCTCCTCAGAAACTCCTGTTTGCAAGTCTTTTGGTGAAATCATTCATTAGAAATTTGGCCAAGTAATTTTATCTGAAGGAACACTACAATAAATAATATACTCTCTCTTCAAATAATCTTATAATTTGATATAATCTTCTTGTTCAAATCCCATTTGTAATCTTTTTGTCTATTGCAAAGAAACAAACTCGCTAAACAGTTAACAATTTGTTAGTAGAGAGTTTATGAATCTGCAACTTTTTATTTCCACTGAAGCAGCAGAAAAAAATTAAAGTCATCACAAAACAAATTTGCATGTAGGTAGAGTAACAGATCTTCTATTATCTTTCATTTTGAGAACTTTGTAGGCATAGAAAGAAGAGAAAACCCTAAGCTAATTTGCATTTACAGAATTCAAAATAGCCTATTGCTATCTTTATCGTCATTTAATCAATCGGACACAAAAAGTCCAGGACTGCTGAAGCTGAAGTTCACAGAGCAGAAAAATTAAAGCAAACTATGCAGCAGTGGTGTCTAATAGAAAGATTATCCACTAAAGTGTTGTGGGTGTGCGAAGCTCTGGAGGCAGAAGCTTAACATAAAGAATCAAAGATGCCAATAAACCAAAGAGAACTTCCGTTTCAAGAGTAGGTGGGAAAGAATTACATAAGTGGATCAAACCAATAGCAAAGTTCTGGGGAGATTATCTGTTTTCTTTTCTTTCCTTTTCCCTACAGCAGAAAGGATATCAAGATATCAAGTCAATCATGCTGCCACTATCAGGATCTATCACCCCCAATCATTGCAAGATATCATAAATCCAAAAAATTGTGTCTCATTTCACCAACCTGTACTCCTGGTTAACAGTTATTCCTATGCCTTGCAGCAGAGTTTCATTTCAATTCCTTATACTTTCTTGGTAGATTAATAGGTAGGCTGGATTTATATGCCACAATGTCTCCCTTTTTCCTGCTAGTTGAATATGCCAAAATTTTACCAGCTTTATCAAAGAAAGATGCCAGTCCTTCTTGACTTGGAGACTTTCAGCTATGTTGAGCTAGGACTCCCTCAATCCTTAGTCTTTGGCACCACATTGAAGAAGGTTGTCCAAATCCAAGAATCTGATGTCAGTACATTTTTTACTATTTCCCCCTCCTAATACAACCAAGTTTCCATTATCTTCCTTTCTTGAATATTTTTACAAGCACTATTCTAACAGAGCCTAAGCTAGGGCATATAATTTATAAACAAGGGTGGGGTAGTCTTCAGAAATGATGTACAAGTGCTTCAGTACTCACGGGAGAGTAAGCACAGCACTTCTCCACTATACATTAGCCTTCCTTTCTTTCAGGCATCTATCCAAGTCTTAATGAATCTATTCATTCAAAATTAGCATGACTCTTAAAGCCATGCCCCCCCCCCCAAGCTCACATAGAAGCCCAATATATCTATAGAGGAGGGAAGGGAAACTCCTGAGGTCTCTGTGTTATTTAGAAATAGCAAGGGTTGCTTATTACAGTTCCATGCCGCAATAATGAATCTTAGTAAAGATTAATCCTTTCAAGTGTAAGTAAGTACAGAATGTAGCTGATTTCAAGAAAAGTTAAGCAGAGTTGATTAAAACTACTTACAGGGCAACAATAATAAATTACCCCCATATTGTTGTCAAGTAAACTACATGGATGTGTTCATGAAGTCACAATTCTTACCTGTTAAAATCCTTTTAAAGGAAGATCCTGGGGACTAGAGGCAGGAAGTAGATTTGGACCCAAAAATTACATTCTTAAAACATTGGTCTGGGTAAGTTTTTAGACCTGCACATGAGTAATCAATAGTAGCAGATTTAGGACTCCAACTTGATCTATCCCAATTCCTCTTATTTCTGTTTTCTGTCCTGGTTGCTTTACCTGCAACCTATCTGGCACATTATCAGAAGAGGAAGACAAGCTAGGTTCCCAAGTTTACCAAGGAAAATAAATCCTCAGGAAGAAAGAAGCAATAGCAGGATGGGTCAACACACAAGCTTTCCACAAGAAAAGGCACCTCCTGCAGCAAAGGCAAAGGAGACTAGCTAGCAGTGCCTCCTTGTGGGCTTAGGGGTGTGTGAGTGCTGCTCTGCCTTTTATCTGCCTAATGCCTCAGGCCAGGCTATCACACATGCTGGAAAGAGTTTTCCAAAGTCAGTACTGAGATCCAGAGAGCAATTTACAGGGATGTCAAAGACTTTCTCTCTGCCAGGCACATGGCACATACCACACGTACATGCATGCATTCTGTATAATCAGAATCTGTTCAGCATGCAAAATACGAACAGATGGGCCCTGAGCAGAGGCACTGGAGGGCTGAAGCATTTAAGGCAGCCTTCTCTAACATGATAACTTCCAGATGTGCTGGCTGGGAATTATGCAGTTATCATGCAACAGGACTGGAGGTTGTCAGAATGGAGAAGGCTGATTTAAGGTGATTTGTGTTGTAATTCTTTTTTAGGCACTGGAAAAGGTCTGGCAATGAACAAATCTTTTTTTCCCCTTTCTTCCACAGTGGCGGGCTGGATGCAGCACCATACGATAGCAAAGGAAGAGATCTATGACAGTTTCAATTGAAAGAGGAAAGGCGGCCATCTTCCTCCAGAAGCGGTTTGGCTCTGGCTGGGGACAGGCAAGAAGGACTTTAGAAGAGCCAGTCTACGGTCACTGTCCACCCCTGCCATTCCCCAAGCATTTGGGATAATTTGAGGCACTAGCGGAGACCAATTCTCTCCCTCTCCCTGTCCTCAGGAACTCTGTCTCCACCCTTCCAGCCCTGAAGTGTAAAGAAAAATTTAAGGTCAATGTGATTCTTCATGATCTTGTGGGAAAGCCCAGGCAGTGCTGCTGGCAGGGTGAGGATGTTAAAGAAGTTGTTGGCACAAATGGCAAAACGGGAATGGAGGGAGTCCCCAGACAAGAGGGGTATTGAGTTACAGGCTGGTCAATGATGATGTGGCTTTGGGGGTGCAAATACTACAGCCATCAAGCTCTAACTGTGGGGCTGAAGGCCAATCTTTTAGGGACAGCCTCTGCCCTCAGTGGCTCTCAGCTGTCACCCCCAAAGGTCTGAGTGGGAACAAGCTTCTTTCTAGGCAGATAAAAACCTGCCCTTGAGGCCTTAACGGATATAAACATCACGCCCCCAGTCCTCCACATTGTTATGGTTATGACCTAGAGCTTCCACCTCCTCCTCTTCCTGGCAGTAGTGTTCCCGCCCTTTGCCCTGCCCACGCAGAGACCGGTTATGGTTTTGTCGGTCAGGCTCCTCGGCCTCTGAGGAGCCTTGGCACTGGAGGGGACGATGACCGTGGCCCTGGAAGTGATGAGGCTCAGGTTCTTCAGCCTGCCAGGCGCCCTGGCGGTGACTCAGGCAAGGAGGATCCAGCTCCTCGTACGGGTCAGTTTCAATGTCCATGCAGGAATCCGCTGGATCTGTGTAAGCAGAATCACGACTGCCCAGCATCTCTGAATCAAAGGTGTCTTGTCGAGGAAGGCCTCGGGCAGCCAAGTGAGAAGGAGGCACCATTGAACGGATCTGGCCATGCCCCACTGGCTGCCCTGTGTAGCTGTGGAGGCCAGGATGCTCGGGGTCATGAGGCTCCTCCCCATGTACCAAATAGGGTCCCTGATTGAAAGAAGCAGATATCGCACACCATGCAAACAAACAGAAGAAAAAGATAAAACAATGTTAGTGCAGCCACCACACAGCAGCAGTAATATCCTCAAATTGGTTAGAATGAGACATTCTTGAACTCTAGTCTTGTGAATCACCCTAGATTTAAGAAAGCAATCAGCCTTCCTCTCCCCAGGCCAAGACAGACCATTTTTCTGGGCAGCATTTCCTCTTCTTTCTCCCCAAGCAGATGAACAAGAAAATCCCCATGCATCTTAATGTCAAAGAAATTTGCAAAGAAATAAAGAAGATAGATAATTGAAGAACTGAGAAATTAGGGGTGTGGGGAGAGAGGTTTGGAACAGTAGTGTTGCTGGTTAATTATAAAATCCAGGCTTAATGGCGTAAAGTGTACTTTTAGGCAATAATATATATTATTTTACTTACTTCAACAGAAAACAAACCATGCCATGCTATATTTTGGCTCTCCAAACTAGGATCTATTTGCCCCCAAATTCTGCCCTGAATGGCATCACCAGGAAAAAGAGAAATAGCATCAGAAAAAAATGTTAGTTCTGGCATGTTGTCAGAAATTGCTGTTTAGATGTAGTTTTGGACAAGTTATACAGAATCAATGTGAACCAGAACAGGAATGAGAATTTTCTGTTCCTCCAGTTGGATTTTGCTCACCACCACTCCTTCTTCCAAATTTGGCTATATTTCATTCCCTGTGACATAATACATACATACATGCACACATACATACAGATACGTACATGCACACATGTAGTTATTTAGGAGAAAAATGAGACTTTTCCATTGTTTCTGTAACATTAGAAAGACTTACCACCCAGTCTGATAACCTACAAGATTTCAGCTTACATAGCTCAAGATCAAACTGATTGCTCTGTGGGACTACAGGTAGTCCTCCACTTACAACCACAATTGAACCCAAAATTTCTGTTAAGTGAGACAATTGTTAAGTGAGTTTTGCCCCATTTTAAGATCTTTCTTGCCACAGATGTTAAGTGAATCTAGCTTCCCCATTGACTTTGCTTGTCAGAATGTCACAAAAAATTACCAAAGGACACTGCAACCGCCATAAATATGAGTCAGTTGCCAACTGTCTGAATTTTGATCACATGACCACAGGGATGCTGCTATGGTCATAGGTCACTTTTTTCAGTGCTGTTATAATTTCAAACGATCACTAAATGAATTGTTGTAAGTTGAGGATTAACTGTACCTGGATTTTGGTCAAGTTCTGACACAATGCCATTTATATAGGAAATTAGTAGATCACTAGTCTATTGAGTCTCATCATGCAGACTCATAAAAAAGCAAGGAGGACCAATTGGGAAAAGGATCAACTTAAGTAGTAGCTTCATAGATATGTTTACCACTTCAGAGCCTGCACTTTTCTAAAATAAAAAGCATGTGACTTTTTCATCATATACTCAAACATCCATTTGAAACAAGGAAAACTCAAGTTTCTGAATGATCGGAACAGATTACCTTCACTCCTGAAAAAACAAACTATTATAATTACGGTGCAAATTCATATTTTCAACTGAAGAAAGAAACATATTAGATGAGTCTCATGCCAGAGGTTAGTTTACTAGATTTGCCTATTAATCTTTGAATTAGTTTAGGATTGCAACGGAAATTAACTTTCAAAGATGAGGGTCTTAGTTGAAGTAAAAAGTTAAGACATTGAATAATGTAATATGGAAGGTGCTGATTCTGACAAAATCGGGTGCTGTTTCTGATAGTTTGGTGTTGACTTGTCTACTAATTGCTAGGAAGCTAGAACGGGACATTGTTTTGATAAGTTTCAACAATGATTAGGTTTTTAAATAGTATATTATTTGGAGAGGCAGTAGTAGTGGATTTTTTTTAGATAACTCACTCCACTGGAGCTTCCCCAACCTGGTGTATTCTAGATGTGCTGAAGCTCAACACAGAGAATTTTCAGCACACTGAAAATTCACGCAGTTGAGTTGAAATCAATAGATCTGAGGAGTACCAAATTGGGGAATAATTACCTTTTGAGTACAGCCCTTTTCTACATTCTTATACTCTGTTTAGGAATACAATAGAAACATAGCATGGCAGAGGAGGTGAACGGTAGTGCAAATTCATCCAGAAAAAAACAATGGCGATCATGGGCACATTTGTGGCATAGTAACCCAGCTTTTGCGTTCATGTACATATATTGGCAGAAAGCTTGGTCAATTCCTGCATGACTTGGCAAGAAAGTGAAGGAAAATGAATGCTTTTACGGCTTCTGTGATACCATTTTACCATGATTAAAATAAATTGCAATATTTTCCTTAAACTCCAGACTCAACATTCTTAGTTCAGTTTTCTAGGAAGTATTGCTTGTTAAGACAAAGGCAGGGGAAGATGGAGGCACACAGGAAACCTGACAAGGCATCCTTTCAATAAAATTAGGGTGAATTTTGAAAAGGAAGAGGGGTCCTTAGCAAAGGGATTCATCCAAGAAGTGTAAAGCAGAGAGCGGAAGAAGAAACAGAGAGCAATCACCTTCACTGAACAGCAGTACCAAGAGTCCTTTGAGGGCAAGCAGGAGCCTTGTCTGAGGATCTCCCTTATTTCTTCTTTCTGGAGCAACATCCCAGTTTTTCCAGAAAGCTATAATTCATGTTCCTCAACCCGGATAGCTCCACTCAGCCCCTCGTCCAGGCTGCCCCTTCCACCCCAGAACCCCAGGTTGCGCTTGAGGGAGGTCAGCACTTGTACCTGGAGGTTGGAGACCGGGGCAGGGCTCGCAGCCAGGGCAGCAGTTGCCATGGTGCGGGTTAGCAGTGGATTGGGTGGATTGCTGCTAGGAGGATGTGTGGCCTTCCAGTAGGCTTCCAGGTACTCAGCCAGGTGTTCACAAGCATCTTCCAATTGGTTTTCATCCAGAATGATGTCAAACATTTCCTGCAGAAAAATAGGATGAAGAGTAATTAGTTCAATGGGAGAAATAGAGAAATGGGGGGGGTATAAAATGGGTTGAAATATCAGGAACAGCAGTAAGCAAAAGAGGAAGCTAGATAGATCGTATGAATAGAAGCCAGTGGGCTGCAGTAGTAGGTTTTTAAAAACATAATCTTCTCCAGTTTCCAGAGGGTAAACCTTGGGAGATGACAACAAAGAGTTGAAGAGAAGAGCTACATGAGCAACATAATCTTTCTCTACCATCTAAGCTTAGTTGAATCCTTCAGATACGATAAAAGATACTATCCCATTACTGTATTGAAAAACTATTGTAAGAGAGAAAGGGAGAAATATTTATTGCTATATATATGGGTGGTGGTGATGAGAAGAGGGCCAAATGCTCCATTTGCTTGGTATAACTGGGATTGGAAACATGGAAGGAAGGGAGAGAATAGTTGAAGAGTCCTGACCATTAGGATGCTGGCACCCAGTGTGAGAACTTACTGGGGGACATTGTGCCAACTTGTCTGATGCCACCATTTGAACATTCAAGTGCTTGGCCTGGGATTTACCTCTAGATTTCACCAACCTCTGCAGCACCTGTTGGAGAAAGAATACGTCAGGGCCCAACATAATGGAGACAAACCAATTATTAAAAGAGAGGAGGATACTTCCAAAGAACTCTTGCTCTCATCTTTCTCCTGAAGGAACCCCTGCAAATGTATGAACATTTATATACAGGGAAGAGGTATTCCCCTGAACACAGAGCCTTCATTCATCAGAGAAAATAGTCACAGGAAGAAGAATATATTTCATATTGTAGAGATAAACTAGCGATCTAGAGTGGATAGATTGCTGTGATAATAGAGCAAAGTTTTGCCTTCTGTATCCTGTCTTCATTTCCTAGCAACTTGTGTCAAAATGATTGTGTCTCTGCTTGACATCTTAAATAACTCCTTTGAGCCTGAAGAGTTTCTGAACTAGCTGGGCCAGTTGTCTAATTTGTGATAAATTATTTCCGTATGTGCAGTTGTTTCAAAACAGAAACAAGAAGCTACTGATGAATTTGTATAAACTATGTGATGTCTTTACATTTAACAGAGCATAATTCCACTTATGCATGACCACACTCAAAAAGCTATGCTCAAAATAATATTTTGAAAAGAGAAAACATGAAACACAACTAGCCTGGAGTGAAAACTGGAAAACTTTTTGGTCTTTGCTGCATTCAGGGACCAGGATAGGACCTGCTGTTTCTTCTATCTCAGGGGTGTCAAACTCAATTTCATTGAGGGCCGCATCAGTATTGTGGTTGTCCTGGGGAGGGCAGGTAGGTGTGGCCAGGGTGGATGCAGCCTACTGAGTGGGCGTGGCTGGAGTGAGTGTGGCCTACTGGGTGGGCATGGCCAGGTCTACATTGTTTGTGTCAAGGGTGCCTGTGGGGGCCTGGGCAGGAGTGGGACAGATCTAGGGTCTCTGGCAGAAGGGGGTGGGACCGGGGAAAGCGCCAAGGCATGGTCCACTGGAAGAGCCTCATTGTTCTTCTCAGGCCATGCAGGGGACTGGATGGTGCCGCGGGCTTCCCAGAGCCCTGGGCAGCAGAGATCAAATGCCCATCCTGGCTCTCAAGCACCCACGGCACCAAGCCCAGCCCCACTACCCCCAGGGGGTGCCCAGCTATACTTACCTCCTCCTTAAGGCTGCTGCTGCTGTGCTTGCTCTCCTTGTGGAGCTAAGACTGAATGCATTTCAGCATAGATGGCCACCACAAAATTGTACATTGGCTCCCAGGCAGCCTGGGCCGGGGCCAAGGCAGCAGGGGCCATTCCCTCACTGTTTCCAGGATGGCTTCTTGGGCCACATGAAACCACGTCGCGGGTCGCATCCAGCCCCGGGCCTTGTGTTTGACATGTCTGTTCTATCTCTTCCGTAGCATACTTATTCATTGTCTTTCCATGATCAAGATTTCACCCAAGCTTCACTTATATTATGGTTACTATCTTCCCATTACAAAAGTCAGATTACAATTATAAGCAGTTAAGGAGAACAACATTGGCAAATTAACCACTTTTTACATTTCTTCTGCTATTAGTGGTTTCTTATTTCAAATTTAGACCATTGAGGCATTCATTAAGATCCAGGGAAATGGAAACTAGTAGTAAAATATGAATGTATATATTTCTTAAATAAATAAACTCATTAAAGAAGCAACCTTAACGCTACCAGAATCATGCATGCAGGTATTTCCAAAAATGATCGGCCATATGGCCACAGGCCAAAGTAGGCAGGTTATGCAATTTTACTGGATTTGTTAAAATACGTTTTTGTGATAACCAGTAATTTTAATAATATAAAAGAAACAACAGGGTAAAGACATAAATAATAAAATAACAAAAGGAAGAAAATAAGGTTGTAAAATATCTCATACATTTCTGATCATCTCAGGAATATTATATTTTCTAGGCTGTTTAACATTTTCCTCTTTAAGAATAGAACTTCTGCAGGAATAAATCAACAAAAGATGTGCTGCAATTCATTAGAGACAGCACAGGATTTTCATGCAAAAAGTTCACAAATTCAATTCCTGACATGAAAAGGGTTGAGAAAAATTCCTTCCTGAAATTGTAGAGAACAGTGGCAGCCAATGAAAATAGTACAAAGTAAGTGCACCACTAGTTCAGTTCAACAATTTCTGGCTTCTATGTAACTTAAGCATTCTCCTCTATAATTTAACACTAGCCAGTTTCTGAAAGTTATTAACAGTTTGTGTTAATAATATGTATATATTTCTTATGTACTCTTTCTGAAGTAAACATTCCTATACACTGTTCTCACCTGCACATGCCCCACTGAGGTACCATAAGAATTTTCTAATTTATTTTAGCACCAAATTCTTCTATGGCCACCCACCTTTCTTTCCCAAACCAGGTGGAAGGTAGTTTGTTAGTAGAATCAGGTGGAAGAAAAAGGGAATTTGTTCACCTTTGGGGAAGATATCTTGATGTAGACAATAATAGGTGCTAATGAAGTCTTGGAGAGTTGAGCTGGATGATTAATGGTGTCTGCATCCAAGGCAACCAATTGTAATGTTCGAGCCAATTCAAAGATGCGTTCTATCTCACTCTGCACTTCAGCTGCCGAGGCAGAGAGCAAGTAGCAAAAAAGGAGAAGACAAGGTCAGCACTGCCATGGGGGGGGGGGGGAGGAATGGCAGCAAGTCATTGATAGTCCTAGAACAATTTTTCTCAACCTGGTTTTCTTCTGAAGAACTGGACATTCCAGTTATGGAATTCTGAGAAATAACATCAACAGAAAAGAAAAACAACAGATTTGGGGATGTCTTTACTGTTCCCTTCTGTAGCCTTTGTTCAATGCATGAAATGTAATCAATTATTATCCCACAACTCACTATTTTCACTGATATATTTAGGCACCACAGCTATAGCACCCATCATTGTGAGATTGTGGAAGAAGCTGCATTTGAAAAAGAATACACTTATTAAATCTGCCTATTTTATAGGACAAACATTAATTCTTTTCATTTCTGAATGATCAACAGTCAGTCTGATCCGATGACAGTTTGGCTTAAAGCCTGCCTCAAATGAAGAAAAGAAACTAACTGCCAGCTACAAGAAGCAAGTTTGAAGTATAAATAAGAAAGCTAAGGTCTGATTCATGGGGCCTGATACAGCAAGATATCCCCCAGGGCATTAATAGGAAGTATCTAGTCCTTCCTCATCACTTCTAGGATAATTTTTAGTGGAGTTTGTGCCACATCAGGACAGTAATATGGGCAATACACCATGTGGAAATGCTACCTGTAATCCAAAGTTATCTCCTTGTTTTAAATATTTCTATTTGGGTTTATTTTTTTATATAAGTTTTCAATTTAATGTGCAAAAATGCTATGACCTCAGTATGGTAGTCTTCCTCAATACGACCAGAGCCCAATTGTGTGGAACTCCCAGAATTATATAGGCAGCATAACCATTACTGAGAATTCTGGGAGTCAAAGTCTACAAATCAGCAGAGTACCAAAATTAGAAATGGCAGATACAAGAAATATCCCAAAAATAAATAAATAGATAAATAAATAAATCTAAATATAGAATCTGTAACCTTTTACAATCAAGTGATTTCTCTAACAGTGTCAGAGCATTAAGTCTATTTAAATATATGTCCCACTGAATTTAAATGGTCTTCTCCCAAGTAAATATGCATAGGGCTGCAATCAAAACATTAAGCATTGTTGCTGTCCTTATGAACTGAAAACCAAAAACATTCTTTTCTGGATTTGGTTTGGCTCATTAAGATCCTAGAAAATGAATGGAAGTGAAAAATAAGACTGATATGACTCTGCATTTTTCACTTCCCAAACACAGTTAAAAATAAAAAGAAATGTTTTAAACATTTTGGCAAGAACAATATTTATTGTTCTGGTTTTGAACACCCCTTGCCCCATTCTCTTAAACGTATTTCCCATGCTGAACTTAAGCATGTTAAATTGGCACTTGGAAGGAACACTGGAGAGCTTGTGAAGTTAAAGGTTACATACCCAAGACATCTGTATCAGGAGCACAGAAAGGAAGAGGATGCACAGACACAAGAGAAGGAAAATTGTGGGAAGGGGGGAAAAAGAGAAGAGTGAGTCGAAGTCATTGGGATGCCTACAAGATTGAGGAAGTCAAAACATGGGGAGGAATTAAACATAGAGAAGGCTGCTGACAAACCCAACTGCTTTCTCCTTTTTCAATTGTTGGTTGAGAAGGAACATTCTTCCTCACGCACAGAAGTGTATGTGATTTAAAATGATTTAAAATCCTATAATACTTCTGATACCATTGTCCATGCTCTGCATGTTTTAGGGTGCCCCCACTTCCATTCCTGGATACAGATAAATTCACGTTGTTGTAGAGACCATCCCAATGCCCTGCTCAAGGATTGTGTCAAAGGGGTTCTGTCAGGGAGAGGGGGAAAAAGACAACACTACAAAAATAAAATAAAATAAAAATAAAAATCAAATAACATCCAGGAAAAGATGTTCTCAACTGATACAGATCAGAGTTAGACAAGGCTTAAATAGTCACCATGCAAAATGTTAGTGTAATGTGATCTGCCTTCTCTTCCCTCCCACTAAAAAAATCCTGAGAAAAAATTTAGAAGAAAACAAAGATTTGAAGTTTTCTTGCAGGACCTCAACTTAGCCTTACCCAGACTGGAACGGGTACTGGAGCGCTCAATGATGGTGTGTTTGCTAGGATTGTTGAGGACTGAGCGCTTAGCAAGAGAGATATCAGCCGTCACACGCGTGATGGATATTCTGTGGAAGACATAGAGGGATGAATAGCTGAGGAAGCCAACTTCATTCGCCAGGTATTCCCACCAGATCACTAGGACATTTTTTCTGGTGTTACAGCCAGAAAAAGGATTCTAAATATCTGCCAATAGAAGTTTAATAATCTCAGCCCACTTAAACCAGACTGAAACTTGTTTCTCTTCATGAATAAGGAAAGGAGTTTTTAACAAACCACACCAAAAAAATCTAACTTCTTTCAGTTTTTATTTCAAAAAGAAACCTTCATCTCCTGGAAGAAAGAGGGGAAAATGTTTTATAGTCAGTAAAATGCAGGAAAACTTCTAAAATCCTGGAAGGCTGAAACTCTGTACCAACCCTCCCATATCTTATGACCTCTACTTGGATTTTTTTCCTGAAATCATATAGATGTGGCCATAAGATTTCCAGGTTTCCCCCAAGATCTCTCTTTTTCCCTCAAGGCTCCTGCTCACACCTGCCATCAAATCGGCGTTTCAAGAAATCAAATAAGGCTTTCTGCATCATGTCTGTCACCTGGGAAAATAAAAGGGAAGGGGAGAAGAGGTATACAGTTAAAAGTTAAAATTAAGTTAAAGTTAAAATCCAAAAGTTTGTATATTTGCAAAGGTTTATGCCAGCATTTGATAAAAAAAAATTGTCCAGTAGACTTCGGGTGTAAAATTCTTGGATATGTTGTAGTTTAATTGCCAGCTGATTCAATCTTTGTCCTCTGCATGATACCCTTTTGGATTTAATAGCTAAAATAGCTACCCTTTTGGATTTAATAGCTAAAACTAGAACTAAGGAGAAATTTCCTGACAGTTAGAACAATTAATCAGTGGAACAATCTGCCTCCAGAAGCGGTGAATGCTCCAACACTGGAAGTTTTAAAGAAGAGATTGGATAATAATTTGTCTGAAATGGTATAGGGTTTCCTGCCTGAGTAGGGGGGATGGACTAGAAGACTTCCAAGGTCCCTTCTAACTCTGTTGTTCTGTTAACTAGGTTTATATAGAAAAGCATGATTTGCATAACCATATTGGGTCCAATACAGCTGCATTCATATAAAGCTGAGCCATAATGCTGTCCAGAGTTATTTTGAGCTGGAGTTCATAAATGTGATGGATGATATATAAGGATAGATAGATAGATAGATAGATAGATAGATAGATAGATAGATAGATAGATAGATAGATAGATAGATTGTTTAATAAACACTGTAGTTGACTTCATGCAAAATATTAATATAAAATCAAAACCAACATGCCTTTGTAATAGTTTGACTTTATTTTGAATGATTCTGCTCAAGAAAGAGGAAGAGAGAATTGTTAATCTACATACAAGTATTACAGTTTAGTTTTCAGCTTTTTAAAATTGTTATAAGAATTCTCCTTAGCATTTTTATGGAAAAAGGAGAGTGTAAAACACTGAAAGTGGATTTAGACTGATAATGTAAAGACCTGGAAAGTCAACTATATTAGAAAGGAAATGACCATGTCTGGGCAAACAATTGATAGGCACATCCACAAACTATTCTAAACATCTTAATGACACCTTTGAAAGATCTTTCATCTCTCTATCTCAGATGGAGATTTCAAGGTTTAATAATGTTCCATTTCCCAATCATTTTTACTGGAAAATAGAAAGTAGAGAACCAGTGTGAAGGATGGAAAAAATGATTTATAGCAGGGGTCCCCAACCCCCAGTACGTGGCCCAATACTGGTCCGTGTCATGCAAATAACCAGTCCGCACAAACAAGCAAACCCCCATCCGTGAGATGCAGGCAGCACACAAAACCATGCACTCTCCGGTCTGCGGAAAAACCTCTCTCCACGAAACTAGTGCCTGTTGCCCAAAACGTTGGAGATGTTTTGATTTATAGACTCATGGGTCAAAATGGGAGCAAAGTTGAGATGAGCTGCACTAAGATGAAGCATCAACTCTCACTCAAATGCATAGAAGGGAGTTGGATTGGAATGACTTCTTTAGGGGTTGAAATTGTATTCAACATTTGATGTTCCACATGAAACCACAAGTAAAAAGTGAGCAAAAATTTGATTTCACTTCATTTAAAGACTGTATCTAATAATTTCCCAGTTCTGTTATAAATTAAACATTAAAATTAAAGTTTTGGAGCTGCTCTGGGACTGCACCAAAGTTTGTAAAAGCTACATACTATTCAATGATTTTAGGAGATGTATCTCAAATTTGAATGATGAATTGGCAAGTGAAAAAATATGTATAAACATCTGATGGCCCTTTGGAAATGTTTCCAGCTTCCCAGTAAAGTAACCAAACTCCTCCATATTATATGCCCCATATCACTGTTAATCCAACTTTCTACCCACATGCTCTATGCCTCACCTCATATCCTTTCAAAGATGGGCCCACAAGAATGATCGGTCGCATAGAAGGAACCACATCATATGGTGGCACATGCTCTGTCTGAGGACAAAGAAGAAAGAATAAAACATTAGGTTTGCTCCTGGTCACTTAACCTGTGCTTCCAGATTCTTATAATCTCAATCTCTACTTTGTGGGGATCCCTAGGGCTTGGCACTCTCTCCATTTGGTTTAATATTTACATGAAGCTGCTGAATGAAGTAATCTGATGGCATGACATAAAATATCATCAGTATGCTCATGGCACATAGCTTTATATCTCCATCCCTAGCCAACCAAATAATGCTATGGAGGTTCTTGGTATCTGGAGGCTATTGGAATCTGGATGAGGAAAAATGGGCTTCAACTCAACCCTAGCAAAATTGAGTAGCTCTGGGTTCAATGGCCACTAGGTCCTGAGGACTTTCCATTGCTTGTCCTGGATGAAAGCAGAACAGAAAACAGTGTGCAATTTGTGAACCTCATGGATTGGCAGCTCTTGTTTACAGAACAGGTGGCGGACATAACAGGAGGTCTCTGGACAGCTTGATATTGAGCATTACAAGTGGTCCTTGACTAAAGACAACAACTGAGCCCAGAATCTCAGTAATTAAATTTCTGGGAAACCTTCACTTGATGTGATATTTCATAAGCTTACTTACCGATTTTTGCTTCTGCTTGGCTATGTCCAGTGATCGCCATTAATGGTGGGATGGGGATAGGGATATGGGAATGGGAGAAGGGACAGGCAAGAGAAAAACAAACAGGGCATGCGTGTTATTGACAGCTTACACTTGCAGAAGCATAGGTCGGCACAGGAAGGGAAGGGAGAAAAAAAAACCAGGGCCAAGGAAAGCAGGCTGTTTTTCAGTATCAATAAATTAATCCTCACACCTACTAGTGTTGTGGAGAACAACCTTCCATCAAGCATCCAGTATGATCTCTCTTCTCCTTACTCTTCTTACTCATGGCAGCCCCATAATACTACAGGGCAATGGAGGAGTTCTTTTGCTCCTTAAGGCAAAGAACAAATTTTATCCCTCTCCCTCCACACAAATCAGAAGTTAAATCTCAATTCTGACAATGGGATAGGATTATCAAATGGCTGATATAGGGGTAAAGATGCAGGATACGCTTTGTAGTACATCCAACTCAATCTTGCAAGAGAGAAGGAGGTGCTTTCTCAAATCATTTACACCTCCATTTGAAAAGCTTTGGAAGATATTTCTGCAGAAAGGCATCTAGTAGAGACAGAATTAAGCACTCCCTTTCCTCTTCTTCATAGCAAACTAATATGACATGTAATTTAGTCTTGCAATACTTCCCAACCTTTATCTTGAATTGGTTTAACAATTAGGCTCTAGGCTATTTTCTTCCCACTTTCTAAGGAAGGCTCTGAATAGCCAACATTTCATATTCAGAGGTATGAAAAGAAGAGAATATTTGTGTAGAACTGTACAAAATTTTCATTCTATCAAACAGAACATATAGAACAGAATATTCATGAATATGGAATATTCCAATAGCTTTTCCTCTCCAGATAAAGAGAACATTTGTAATGCTGAATGTTCTCCTTATCTGGAGAGGAAAAGCTATTAGAAATTCCGTATTCATGCTTATTATGAAATGATTGCGACCAACAGGATGCTTTAATCCCATGTCTATGCAGGGCCTTTTTTCTCATAGAACGCCCATAACGGAGTTCCGGTACCGTTTTTGGATGGAACCTTGTAGGGTAGGCAAGGCGAGTTGTATGACATGTGTGAGTTCCGGCACTTTTTTTTTTTTTTTTTTTTAGAAAAAAATCACTGTGTCTATGTTATAGGGAACTGCAGAATTATTTCACCTATTTGCTATCAGAACATTCTGCTGATAGAATTTTCCTTACGTGAGCAAATGGAGAATATATTCTATTCCTATAATCAGCACAGGGAAGGCCTATAATCTTAGGGAAGAGTGAATGGGGATGTCACTTGCACAATGAGAAAATGGTTTGAATTTTCAATTTCAAGGATTTATACAGGAGGGAGGGTGAACTGAGAAAATAATTGGATGAATGAAATATTTCTTTCTTACCCTTCAATTATTTTATTGTCATGATATGTAAGGCAGGGAGGAACAGGAGAAAGGACACATAATCTGTTGGATCCATTTTGCAATATAGTCCACACATGAGTATGAACTAGCTGCCAATACATCTTTTAGCTCATACAGATGAAAAATAGGTGTGATCACTCGGATATACCATTCTTATATACTTTATTCACATGTTACAAATGTTATGAACACCACCTCTGTTTTTTTGCTGTCCAAGAGATTGTGCATTTAATTTGCCTCTTACTGTTTGAAGGCCATCACCATATTCATTCCTATAACTTATGCTCTAGATTCAGTATTGCCAATGGATGATCAATGACAAGATAAGCTCCCCGACATGCTTTTTGATCACCTCTATCCTAGCCACACAATGACCTGACCTTGACAAAAACAGCCTATACACACAAGCAGGCATCTTATCAGGACATAGCAAGCAGGTGCAAGTAAATAGGGGCACCATTACCTTCTTAAAGAAGGGGATGCGCTTGGTAGTAGAGGGAGGTGTGGTGACACTGCTAACGCTAGTTTTAGGGGTACGCTGGCTCTCATCGGCTCCTGCCTCTTCCTCCTCCTCTAAATCAAGGGCATCTGGGTCAAAAGCTAAGTTAGTCAGTTCCAAGGTACCTGGGACAAGGATGAGGTGAAAAGGTATGAGAGGTGGGGTGTGGGAGAGAGAGAGAGAGAAAAAGAAGGAACCAAAGAACAATAAACCAAACTGAGACAGTATGAATTGGAAATAGCAGGAGGTAAAATAAATTAAAAGGAAAGAAAAAATAAAGTAAAATAAAATAACTTAGAGAATGCAAGAATGCAAGAAAAAATGGGGTAGAAATTCCAGTTTCCATAATGTATTGTCCCATGGCAGTGGCTTAAGCACAGACAGGTTCTATTCATAAGCAGTGACTTATAGGAAGAGAGTCCTGAAGAGGCAGGGTGACCTATACTATTTCAGACAAGGCAAGGGCAAATGAATCTTTTTTGTTATTTGCAAATGCAATTTTTTATTGTTAAGAGAAAAAAAGAACAGAACACCTAGCATCCTAGAAAGTAGGCTGGGCTAATATACATTTGAAATGCATGTTATTGACTAGCATAAAGGCTTTGGGGCAGAAAGTGAGAGATAAATGTAGGGGATATTCGAATATAGAATTCCCATGGAATCTCATTTTGCTGAATGCCTAACATCACCCATAAAGAGTCTCGTTCTCAGTAAGGAGAGATACAGGACTTTTCACTTAGGGTGAAAGTAGAAAAACAGTGAAAGCCATTGTCTCTGAGAAGGAGATGCCTTACCACTAGCAGGTGGGGTGGGTCTCCGGGGACCTGTCACCACATCTCCCAGGCTGGAAGTGGAGTTGTCTCCTGATTTACTGCAAAAATAAAAACAAACCATTAAAATAAGATGTGGAAAGATGAGATTGTGGAAAAATCAGCTGTAGCTCAGGAGAATCACCATAAGATCCAAGCTTGGCAACTTCACTCAATAGAAAATTAACTTCTTCATTCAGTTAAAATTTCTGATTCTTGGACAAACATTGCTGCAGGATAACATTATTTAATTACCTATTCATGCCACCTGATATGCTTCCCTTGGATAACTATTACTTGCAACACAATTTCATCTAGTTCCTGTCTTTTCAGTATATTTTGGAATCAGGCGGCTCTCTAAATCAGGGCTTTTCAACCAGTGGTACGGGTACCACCTGTGGTACATTGGCATCTGGCAGGTGGTACACGAACATCCTAGAAAAGGGGTAGCGGGGAGGAGAATGAGTTGAACCAGTGGCAGTACCGCACAAGCCTGAGCTAGAGATGGCTGAAGCTGCAGGGCTGTCAGGGCTAAGCGGAAGCGCCAGGATCAGCGCCAGGCTCCAGCTGGAGCTCGGCGCTGATCCTGGTGCTTCTGCTGAGCCCAGAAGAAGCACCGATCAGCTGGAATGTTGCAGCATCTCCAGAGTTTTGTGATTTACATTCAGATGCTTGGCAACTGATTCATATTTATGACGGTCACAGTGTCCCTGGATCATCTGAAGTGACCAAAACCTGCTGCAACCACCCAGCAGACATGGGGAATAAAAACCAAACACCCCCTCACCCTATTCACACTGCCAATCCTCAACAGAAATGCTCACAACAATGGAAACCTCAGACAGGAGGAAGAGCACCACCGGTGGGCAGGCAGGTGTCTTGCTCGGCTGTGACTCGGGGGGCACTTTTTTCAGTGCCATTGTAACTTCAAACAGTCACTAAGCGAACTGTTGTAAGTCGAGGACTACCTGTACTTTATCACTTTTTTCCTTTTTTTTTTTTTAGTCATCAAGTTTTTGACACCTTGCTAGGCGACTGGTCGTACTTGGATATTGCCATATCCTAAAAGTAGTACAATGGGTGAAAAGGTTGAAAGGCCCTGCTCTAAATCTAATGTGATAATATTTTGTGAAATTTGAGGCATATTTTTAATATAGATATAAAACATTTGCTAACCATATTCAGCTTCCAAGAAAGTTGCTCTCCTAATAATTAAAGTTTGCAGATTGCTAAAAAAAATTCATTAGAAAAAGGACTTGCAGGAAAAGGATCCAGTAATTAAAAGATTAGGAATCATGAGAATTAAATAAATTTGAAACTAAACTGCTTTTATACACATTGTAAGGAGAGATTATCTTTTGCATGTATTTAAGAGAAGAGTTAGACTGTGTGAAGGATTCTGCAGTGTCTCTCAATATGTGTTATGTTTGCTGGATATTTTGAATGTTTTTACTTTGGTTGTGAGCCATTCAGAATTACAGCACATATGATGGGCAGCGATAGAATGGACGAATGAATGTCCCAGAGATTTTAAGATCCACAATGTACAATGAAGGTTAATGAGGCTAAAGATTAATGAGGTGCATGACAATTTTATTTCCTGAAACACTTGATGGTAGCAAGAAAGATGAAACTGACACCCACCTTATACTCTAAAGCAGTGATTGACAACATTTGCAAGCACCAGGTGCTCCTGTACAGTTTTGCATAATGACATGGGTAACTAAACAGTTTTTCAAAGATGGCCCCACACATGAGCAGACTCAGCTGCAAGATCTTATTTAATTTCATTTGAAAATGAGGACATCTCATAAGAACACTATATTTAATAAGATTTAACACTCAGATGAGATATTGGTCATCAGTGATGCCCAGAAGAGAAGAGATTTAAAAAAAGGGACAAGAAGGCAGTTAGACCAGCACAATTTTGTCCTTTTGTACATATATTGATCTTGCATGCTTATAAAAAGGGATGGATTTGATCCAGCGTGCTGATTGCTCTCTTGCCTCTTTGGATTCCTTCCTAAAAATGTCATTGTTGAAAATATTTTTTTAAAAAAATATATCCTTATTTTGTAGTTTTGCAGTTTCTACTCAGAGAAGTTACAAGCTCTATATTTTTAACTCTGTTCTAAGGTTGTACAAACTATTTTTTCTTAAAATTGTATGAGTCAATGTAGATTTCAAAATTTAAAGAAATTTGTTTTTGTTTAAATCAGTTTTCTTCAATCACTGCCTTCAAAATATGTCAGATCAGCATTTCTAACATCCTGGGTCACCCTTCCACTACGTCATGCAAGGCCGTTTTTAGGAAAAACCAAGCTGTCTCATTGATGGAGAATGTTTGGTTGTCCACCTTGTAGCAGATGCTAAATAGGGCTCCCTAATGCCCAAAACAAAAGTAGTGCAGCCTCTTTCCTTTCCTCAGCTAGTCTTCCTTTCCACTGTATCCTTCATTTCAGTTTTGTTAACACTGATTGTTCAAAAATATTTACATCATTTGTTCAATTATGCAATTATCCATATGATATAAATTAACACAAGTGACATCATATGAATAATTTTATATTTATAGGATAGGGTTGATGTTGTTGGAATAATAGGTTTTGTGCTATGATTTGAGTGCGTATATAACTTGCCCAGAGTCACTTGGTGAGATGGGTACTATAGAAATTTACTGAATAAATAAATTACTTCATTAAAAATATTTACAGTATCCTGAATTTCCGGGAAGAGTAAAATAACTAAATTCTTCAAATATAACTACTGTAAGGGCACATTTCACATTGGTTTCTATACATCTGTCCAACCAATCTTCAACCCAACCTCTCTATACTGCAGTTTTACAAACCTAACAACTTTAAGATGTGTGAAGGCAAATATACATGTCCAAGAATAATGTTGCAGGATCCAATCTGAGTTGGTCACTGGGAACAGAGATTTAGTCTTCCAAGCTTTTGGACTGATGCTGGAGCCCATCTTCAGGGAATGTCTGTCACACAGAAGGTGTCACACACATTCTGGTGAGAGAGAAGTTCCCTGAGGATGGGTTCCAACACAAGTCTGAAAGCTCGGAAGACTAAACCTCTGGTCCTGGTGCCTGACCAAGATTGGATTCTATAAGATGTGTGGATGAACTCCCATGTTGCCTGAGGAATTCTGGGAATTGTCAAGTTTGAAAAAAAAACTGATACATGATATGTGTCTGATTTCCCCCCTGTGGCATCTCTAGTACTTTGTTCTCCAAAACCTTTGTCAGGCAATTTGAAATTAGTCTTGTTTACAGATGGAAAATCTAAAAGTTCAAGAACCTTGTACTCACCTGCAAGGGCAAACAGTAAGATAAATTAACTAAAATTGTCTCAGCCTTATCTCACTGCTATTTTTTAACCTGAACTCTGAACTCACATATGTGTGTATATAATCTGCAGTTATAATTATAAAAACCACTCCTGTATTAAGTCAGGCCAAGTGCCCTTCCAGTCTTGTGCTTTCCCATATGATTCGAAGCAGGTAATAGAACAGCTGGAAGAACACTAGGAACATTCCCACCCTAATACCTTCAAAAAAATATTCCATTTTAGAATTCTGAGTGTCATGGATCCTACCCCCCAGAGCTCTCTCTGGATGCAGGTTCAGAGGAGGAGGGGAAGTTTAAGTTGGCAGAGGAAAGCACGGAGCCAAGTGTTGGTCAGGATCAGGGCTTGAAGAGCACTAGCCTGACAGAGCTGCCTCAGATAGGTTGATTGGACGAATGACAGGCTGAGGCTGAGCCAGGTGAGCCACAGCTGCAGCAAGTTGGCCAGGACTCCAGGTAGGACTGGGAGCAGTTGCTACCCATTAGCAATGAGGAGGAATGGAGTTCACACCTCCTCCCAATCCAATGACGCATAGAGCAGAGAGGAGACAGGCATAATGCTGGTCATCTAGACTACTTGTGAGGATGCAACTTTGTCTCTCATGAAGGGCTGCACCCTTCATGAGAGACATTAAGTGTTGCCTACTTAATCCTGCCCTCCATTGCTGGAGCAACATGCCCAGTTCTGCGCCTTGTGTGCTCATGCTGTGTATTTTGATCTGTTCCAGACCTGTGCAATGGGGCTGCTTTCTGAGACCTGTTGGGAGGAGGTTGACTGTAGATTCTTGCTGTCTGTGCATTTATGAGGAGGGGAGCGGGGCAGCACACTGAATTGCTAAATTGCTAACAGGCATTGAGGTTGAAAACATTTCTAAAGTTATCAGGTGTAGAATTTCCCTGGGCCTTTAGTTCAGGGATAGGGGACTTGCACCCTTTCAGATATTTTTGGATTCTATTAACAGTATTTTCAGCTTCAGCTAACATAAGTCAGGAGTAACAAATGGTTATGGATATAATTAAAAAAACAGTGAAAGACAAAAGGTTTCTCTTGATCAGATACAATACCAAGGATTTAGCTTTTCTAAAAACAAAACTTTTAAAATCAACTATTGGAGCACTGAATTGCAAGGTAGTTCCTCCTCCTCCTCCATCCAATCTCATCCTATCTCACCTTGAGCTAAGCCGATGTTGTCTCATCTTTAGTTCCTGTTGCATCCTCATATTCTCCAATTTGACCGGGCTTGGGATGAAGCCCACTTCACAAGCTTCTTTAACCAGACGTCCAATCCACCAATCATTGTTATATTTCTGTAGCAGAGAAAATAGAAACAAATGTATAAGACGCATAAAATGAATGAGGTGGAAAAGAGAGAGGAGAGCCATTCTGCGTTGCTCCTTGTTACCCATTGATAAATACTATGGTTTTCAAATTTTCATATCATAAATCCCACTAATCATTCTGGGTCTCCCCTTAGCTAAAAATCAAATGTCTCCAACAAGGATATAATGTATGTATGTGTGTTTAGATATACATTAGACATGTTTACAGAACTCTTTTTCTGTATTGATCAAGTACCATACGTTTTAAGAACATAAAAGATGCATTAATACTATTAATTATATTGACAATTATAAAATGCGATCTGATGGGACTGAAGCAGCGTTTCCTACTGTAGGAATAATTTTATGTAAGCCCAGATAAAAAATAATTTCAAATAATGAAAAGGGAGGGAGGGGGCAAGAAAGAGACATTGGTCATGTTTAATTTGGCACCTAAATCAAACCCCTCATAGTTTTCTTTAGTCCCATGTACAAATTATTCCTTCTCTTTGCATGCTGTACGGGAGACTGATGCCTCTGCTTCATTTTACTATCTTTTTCTGTTTTCTGATTTAAGGGTGGGAGTCATGCCCTACCCAGATTATTACTACTGTAGATAGGACCAGTAGTAAAAGTTCCATTGTACACTGCTCTGTACATTTTATAACCATTGAGATTGGGGTGAACCTTTACATTTCCTCATCGGATTGTTTCTGCTACCTCATCTGGACATCTTACCTCTTTGATATGAAGGAAGTCTTTGGGTTCAAAGCAAATAGACATGCCTTGGACTGGCACATCATCATTGGGAGAAGGATTATAGCCCACATTTGTCCTCACAGCAAATGCTACTGGTTTGGTCTATAAAACAACAAACAAAAACACTTCGATGGAAAAGCAGAGATGAGATGAGCACAGCCTATAGATCCAGAAGCTACTGTCTAACATGGAAAATAAATTATGCAACTTCTCAGTTTAAAAACAAATATACAAAATTGTTTATATATCCATATAAGAGGAAGATGCTGGTATGAATGAGTTACTTCTAACAGCAAAGATAGGTTTTGCCATTGATCATCTAGAATAGATTGACATCCCAGAACTCAGAGGACTGAATGACTGAAATAGATTCCTTGAGATCAAAAAACACCACCTCAGTAATCTGTGTAACATAGAAATGTAATCCTTAAACTAACTTTGCACATCTCTCAATCTAGCATCTATGTCACTGTTCTTTGATCTTGGCAACTTTAAGATGTGTGGACCTCAGCTTCCAGAATTCCCCAACCTTCATCTTCTTAATATAAGCTTACTACAGGTGATAAGCTCTAATTTGTGGTAAGAAATACTTGTCATTTTCTCAGTTTGCCACAGAGGAAAGACAGAAGAGAGAATGTCTTTTTCCCATTCATTTCTGATATCACCCCTTGTTTGCTTCAGCCATATTTACTACATACGTATATCTCTCCTGCAAATTATCTTTAAGGAAAAGTGTCCCTTGTCTGATTAAAGTTATCTGTTGTGCTGCCCTTCCTCATGATATGCAAAAATAACTTAAATTACTAAAGTCAGTAAAATATACACTATTGTTATTATTTTGGTTCATCACACAGTAAGCCAGATGTTCAGATTGGATTTGACATTTTTGTTCACCTATCAAGTCCTTCCCAAGAAACTGAGATAGGCAGATATTAATGTTTGATAGTGTTAAAGGAATCATCACAGCATGTTTATAATAATTATTGAAGAAATAGAGGGGTTAATTTTGGCTATACAAGACTAAGCCTTAAGAACAAATGTGTACAAAGTCAGGTTGAAAAAACAGCAACATTCAGCAAATGTTACCTCTGCAAAGGAGCTGAAAAAAAAACAGCTTTATAGTTGTTATAACATCTAGTTATATTTATATATAGTTATAACATCTAGTTATAATAGCTGCTGCAAGAGGATCACATAGACTGAGTAGAAACAACTGCATGACAAAATAGCAACAATGGTGCATCAGAATGTCTTCAAGAAATGCCATTTGCCTACAGGTGTGATCATAAAACAGACAAAATAATAAAAAATAAGGAAGCTAAAATGCTCTGAAACATTAGAATACAAACAGACAACGACCTACCACATAACACACAGACTTAACAATTATCCAAAAGAAAGACAAAAAAGTCTGGAAATAGCAAAATACAGGAAGTCCTCAACTTACAACAGAATCATGGTTTATAGTTCAACACCCTCAGAAAAAGTGATTTACTACCCATCCTCACAATTACAATCATCTCACCATCTCCACCAAAACATGATTATAATTCAGGTGCTTGGCAATTAATTTACATTTATGACTGGTTGCAGCATCCAATTTACAACCTTCATAGCCAATTTCTGGCAAAAAATGGGAAAGCTGGATTTACCCAACGACCATATGATTTGTTTAATAATCATGGTGATTTACTTTGTGACCACTATAAAAATGGTTGTAAAATTGAGTTTGGTGACCTGATGACTCAACCTATGACTGCACCAACTTAACAATGGAAATTCCAGGCCCAAGTATGATCATAAACCAAGGACTACTTGTAAAAGAGGAAGAACTGCAGAAAATCACAAAGATCTGTAAACAGAAATAGAATGTCTATGACAAAAGAAAGCAAAAATAGCACCAATAGTAATAAGCTCCTTGATCTCAAAATATCTGGAGCACCACTTGAACACCATTGGCATTGACAAAATCATCATCAGTCAATTGCAAAAGACAGCTTTACTTGCAGCAGCTTATATCTCACAACGATACTGCTAACACCATAAAAAATGTTCCAGGTCCTCGGGAAGGACTTGATAGATGGATAAAAATGCCAGATCCAGTCTAAACATTTGGCTGACTGTGTCATAATAGCTAACTAGTAGAATAAGCTACATTGGTGTGTACAATGCCCATGGGACTGAAGTTTTAGGAACCTTTCCAATTTTCTTGCAGTTGTTTTGATTATGAGATACATTTCTAGACATTTTCCTCAGTTTTTTGTTTTGTTATTTGGTGAATTTTGGTAAAGTGTTATTTTATCAGCATTGCTAATCCTTTTGAATCATGAGAAGTGGATGGGTATATAAATATTGTTCCATATTTTAAAATGTAATTGTTTGGTATCTGCTTTTTTCATATTGTTAATTAGTTTGATGCTACATAAAAATGAAAAACAACACTTGAGCTCTCCTCATCCCAGAGGCCAAGTAGCAAAAAAGAAACAGGTAAGAAAGTACACCATCATTCTTAGTGCAAAGCACATCTGATGCCAAGACTTTTCAGACCCCTATGGGCAGTGGTGGGATTCAAATATGTGAACAACCAGTTCTCTGTGTGGATGCCGCTTCCAGAAGTCCATTCTGAGCCTGGGCAACAAAAAATTAGCTACCGATTCTGCCGAAGTGGTGCAAACCGGCTGAATCCCACCACTGCCTATGGGACCCCAATCTGAAACTGTAGTCAACAAACAGCTACAAAACCTGCTGAGAAAAGCAAAGGATGAAACTTTTGGCTTGAAGCCCAAGCAGAAAGGTAGGAATGTTCTGGGTGCCAACTACTCCTACTCAGTTCTTTCTCCTAGATCATCCTGGCAGCAAGAAAGCTGGACCAGGTCCCAGCTGCCTAAATGCTTCTAGACATCCTAATTGCAAGAAGGCAGCAACAGGATCCGCCAAAAGCTGAAACAGAGGGGACTGGGAGATTTCATTAGCTAATTGCATCTGTCAAAATCATGAGGCTGCAGCCAAAGGGAGCCTCCTTTTTAGAAATCTGGTACTTTACAAAAGGATACTTATTGTCATGAACTGCTGTCATGAACAAGACCCTAACAGAAATCTGCTGGAAAGACTGCCATCAGATATATAGGTAAGAAAGAAGAAAGGGGAAAATACATACTGGTATAAAACAGAAAAAAGAAAGAAAAAAATAGGAAGAAATGACTTCCCCCTTCATTAAGACAAGTATAAACATTTTCAATATCTTAACACTTCTCTAATATTTCAACCAAAACTCTCTTCATCCCACATTTCATCTATTATCTATTGGCAAATAACAAAATCTCATATTTCAATCTTAATAAGCAAGAATCCATTAAAAGTGCATACTGATGCCTGTCTATACACTTTAAACAAATAAATCATTTTCATAATTCTATTCTGCACTTTACCCAATCATTTGTCATTTTCTTTAAAACTCTTCTTCTCATGTCTTATATCTATAAACAAATTTTTAAAAATGAATCATTCAAACTTAATCAAGATAAATTCCATTAAAGCAACAAATTTCTAGAAACAACAAATTGAAAATCTGAATCTTTAATTCCTTCAAGTAATGTCCTAAATCTCCTCCAAATGATAAAACCACAACTCTTTAAGTTAACTGGACTTTGGTTGACTTCCTGGCCAACTCTATGCAGGTTTCTTGGCAACTGTCTGGAACCTCACCTATCTCCGAGATGTTTGTTTGAATTCTCAGGGTACTTTATAGGCTTTATATTCCTTGGAGATCTCCCATTCTTGTATGGAGCAGGTCCAACTTTGTCTAGTTTCTGAGTCCAGGCAAAGTTGGCCAGATGCTCCCTCCACCTCCCTCCTCCCAAAAAAATAGAGGTACTGCTTCAATATCATATCAAGAAAATTTCAGGCTGTTGCCCATGCAAGTTATCAGCCACCATCTTAAACCCAAGAACAAATCTGAGAACCTATTTTTTTAGATTACTCTTTTTCAAACTTGGCAACCTTAAAATACGTGGACTTCCAGAAGCATGTTGGCTTCTGGGAGTTGAAGTCTACACATCTTTAAAGTTGCCAACTTGAAAAATACTGTTGTAAATCATATTTTCCTTTGATCCAACTAATCTGGTTGCTTCTTTCTTTCTTAATATTATTTTACTGTTTGTTTGTTTTAAAAACATCAGTCCAATAACAAATGGTAGCTCTTATTGTCTGAGTTTTTATTTTTTTCAAACATAAGTAAGTACTGTACAGACTTCCAATCCCTGTTTTAAGAGATGCTGCTGATAGATCAACAATGGTTTTCTTTAGTCTTTCTCAGGCTACTTTCTGTAGTTATTGTGAGCAGGATCTGCTATTCATGGTTGGTGCTTGGAAAATAGCAACTGTGAAATACCTGTGGTGAACAGGTGCTGAGACGAGACTTGGGACTGTGCCAATCTGCAGCGAAGGTTCATGTTTTTTGTAGCTTTGCTTTAGCCAGTTCAATTAATAAGAAATATTATTAAAGCTATTCATCTACCTCCTGAATTGATAAAGCCAATTGATTAGCCAAATTAATTTGCAGATGACTGGCCAGCCAAGGAATGTGGAGTCTGCCTAAATTTGGGCCAATCTCTTTGAAGTGGAGGTAGAAGACCCAGGTATCACATCTAAACTTGAGATTACTATGAAAATCTGTAACTGAACAGATCTTTTTGGAAATTCAAAGTGGCATATCCCTTCATTTTATCTTCATAGCCCTGAAAAGTTGGGCTGACAGAGAATGATTGGTTCCAAATCACTTAGTAACATCTCTGGTGAGTAAAAATTGAACTTGGCTCTCCCACATCTCAATCCAACATCTTTATTACCACATTACACTGCTTCAATAGCATAATAGTATGCAAAAAATAATCGTTTAAATAAGATAATAAACAATCTGTAGAAATGTAAGGCTGGGATAAACAAGGGAGGTAAAAAGCAATATAACTGAAGGCAAGACATCCAAATAGTATCACAGAAAATATAATCTTCATGATCTTTTAATCAATTAGATACAAAATGTAGGTGGTATCTTCGTTTTGTTACCAGTTGTAATATATTCTTAGCCTGTTTTCAAATGCTGTTTGCAAAACAGACAAAACAAGATGGACTGACAAAACATGTGAGAAAGGAAGAGATTAACTCTGATAAAAATAAGGAGCGCTTTCCCCATTCTACAAAACAGAGGGGAGGCAATCAAGAGACAAAATGTTGAACCTACAATATTTGATGCAGCCCTCTAGATTAGTCTTTTAGGAACATGAATTTTAATACGTGAAAGCTTGCTTATTTCACATCAGCAAGATGGTGCCCACCAGAAATGCCCCCAATATGTCACATCGTGTATGAGAAAGCTAGCTTTTTGTTAGATTTCATATACACCATATATTTTGGAAAAGAATGGGCATATATAGGCAATAATATATCATATATAATATAATATTGAGTTACATGGAATCTTTCATCTGGAAGAATCATTTGAATGATTTAGTGCAGGTTATTATATGATAAGATAAAGCATCAATAAAATTCTGAAAAAAGTGAAAAAGCCCTGAGTGATAACCCAGATCCTGATGTCCTACTAAAAATCAGGTTATAGTTGGATCTTGCTTACTTGCAACTGATATAGCCACTTAGAGCCTTTTTGGAGTAGTTACATGAATGGATTGGTTTTATAAGAATTACTATTCTTTAACATGGGGCAATGGGATAACAATTGTGGGATCATATCCTAAAGCAATGGCTGGATCCATGCACTGAACTATGAATGTCTCCAACTTGTTTTAATTGAATCTAGTGAACTGAGCTTAGACAGCCATGAGGCACTTTTGTGCCTGCATAAATTGATTTGGGAATTTTTCTGAAGCCTAACTAAGGAAGATCATCCAACCAAGTGGAAGTTTGTAGTGATTTGCACATCCAGAAAGTAGCTATTCTTTCAGGTCATCTGCACACTACATTCCAGGGGGAAAGGGTATGGTTCCAACTGCATGACAGCAAGGAATGAGAGAAGACTGCATAATTGTAGAGGGGACCATTCCAAAAAAGCACCTTACAGAAACTTCATATGTTTTTCCTTTATATAGTCCCATACATGGGAAATCTATAGATAGTACCACCAGGAAGTTTCCCATTGTAGTTAAGTAAAATCTAGGTAACTGCAACTTGTATTTATTATTTCTGGCTATAATTTCTGCAGTAATGGGAATCAATGTCTCTCTTTCATGTATTAGTACTTGACGTCTCCCCTCTCTTCTTCTCTCCAGACTGAACCTCCGAGGTTCCTTCATCCTGTCCTCACATGGCATGACCTCAAGTGCCTGTTTCATATTTCCCACCTTGGGGGGAGTGTTATTTGATCATCCCATAGGAGAGATATGAGTTAACTGTTAATGAAAAACAAACAATTTTTTGAGAACTGCTACAGTAGTGCAGAGATTAATATGTTTGAGGAGCGTGTTGTTCAGTGTAAATAGAAAACCAAGGTACTCTGGTATTTAAAACCTGACAGTCTGATGTTATCTTTTTTTCCTTTAAAAGATAATAATATTCTAAAATTTAAAAAAAAAAACAGGGGAAAAGTTTAAAGTCACAATGGATCAGCTGTATTAAAACATTTGAAAAATCAGTAAGCCAAAGGTGAGTAAAAAGAACCAAAATGCACCAAGCTATTAAAATTGTAACAACCGTATACTTTCTCACAATAAAGAAGACATCCAAAAATCTTTCAGATACTTTTTGTCTTGCTTTATCGATCTATCCATCCATTCATTCTTGTGGAGGGAAATATGTTGTTCCAAAAGGCAAGTATCATAACAAAAACTGGATCCCATTAGATGCAGTGTTTGATGAAGAGGACTAGAAGAATGACTACTCTGCTGAATCTTGTAAAAAGGACAGACATAATCAGAATCTGTCAAAGTTAGAATTCAGTAGTCTTGAAAATAATCTGCCTTGTTCCATAAAGAGCTTAATAGATGATAACCAGCATCTTGAATTATACCTAAAAGCTTACATAAATCCAGTGTGGCTTGCAAAATAGTGACATCCATAATTATTTGTGCTGCTGCATTCTGGAACAATTGTAGCTTCCGAATGGTCCAAGGGTAGAGTCCTACATAGAATATGTTGCAATAGTTGAAGCATGAACAATCAAGATATGAATGACTATAAATGGGGCCTCAGGATCCCTGAATGGATGTAATTGGTGCACAAAAAGGAAGGCTTCGGCGAGTAAGTTTCATAGCTCAGAGGCCATAGCTACCAGCCTAATTTAATTAAATAAGGAAATCTAAACAATGTTCAAATAATATGTAGAATGTGGTTCATGAATTAATCCAATTTTTGGATTTGCACAATATATTAACCAAACAGCCTGGGTTTATAAACATGCTAAAAGCAAAACAAACCAATCAACAAACTAATCATATTTAATATGTTAGTAGTTGATAGATTTGTAACTGACTTGGTTAAATATGTTGCATGAACACAGAAGGTTCTCTGAAACTAATTTTTCAAAGCATATTAGCTTTCTTCTACCATAAAGATCAAGAGAATGAAATAACTTAAAGTATAATAAGTTAATTTGGCTTACAATAGGGCAATATGGATGCCTATTATTCCAGTTCTCTGGAGGCATCTGTAAACTAATCTGAGGAGATACCCTAAGCATCTGAAAGCTGAATTTAATCTGAAATATTTTCAAGTTAATGCATGTGCTCTGGATGAGCAGAACAAAGGGGATAAAAATGGAGATTTAATTTGTGGAGGAAAATAGCTGCTACAGCATATAGCCATTTAAATCTGACATGCCCTTCAACATAATACTCCAATCAAGTCATCATCTCTAATGCAGTGACAGATATAGCACCATTTTATTTATCGATGCACAAAGTGATTGCCACATTTATATTGGTGACCTGAACTACCTTGTTTCTTGAGAAATGAGACAAGTGCTTTTAATAAAACCATGAACAATATAGCTGGTTCCTCAGGGTGAAGTCCTCCAGATGATTTGGATTACAGTCTCCATCACCTTCATCCAGGAAGATTTCTGAATCCTAACTCTCTAACTCTGTAGGAAGAAGATACCCACCTTGGCTTTCTCCAGCTGTGCCAACGCTTGGCGCTCTGCTTCTTTGCGCAGGGCTTCACGGTCTTCCTCCAGAGATACATCAGAGTCAGATGGGCGACTGGTATAGGACTCAGCAGAACCCTGAAAAGGAGTGAGGAAGTGAAAAAAAGATGAAAGTCCTGATGCTTGCCTGGGCAATGGGAAGGCACTAGTGATATAACAGGGCCCTTTTCAATACCAGTCTAGCACAAAAGGATACCATATGTTGCCTGAAAGAGGTGGCTGTGTACTGTATAATACCCAAATAATGGCCTATAACCCAATTAATGTGATTGCGTATTTCCAGAACATTGATAAAGAGCTCTGACTGAGCTCCTGGCTGATAGGATTAAGTGTGCTGTATGAAAAATAAAGCATGAAGTTCTATCACAAAGCAGTAATGCCCCTGGGCCCCAGGCAATCATTTGCTGCCAATAGCAAACTGGTGTTGATATAGTTCCAAATGCGAAAAAGGTATAGTTTCTGGGCACTCTTCCCCATCCTTTTTCCCATACAATTTCTCCTTCTGAAAAAGGAGAAAGTGGGGGAAAGATCTCTTCTTTAGAGTGCTGGAAATAACCTGTAATCCCCAATTCATCCAGAAATTGAGCAGCTGTATCTGGAGGGAGGTTCCCAGGTCAAAATAGACATGTTTGGAGGTCACCATTGGAGAAGACAAGGGACCTGGATTGAGTATGATCATGTTAATAACTAAGTAACTTTGTACTTAGTTTTACATTCAGTTTTGCTCTAGAAACAGTTTAACTTAACTCTTATTTAATTTTTTTTTGAAGAGATCACCCAACTGCTATACACCAATTTATTCTGAATGGCCTAATAAATTTGCCTCCCTTAAAACAACTAAGTACCTTACTTAAAGTGAGATGAGCTAGTTTTAATTTTAATAATTGTTTATTCTGAGTAATTTCTTTTGACAGTATTAATCTCCCAGAATTGATACATGCAGCACGGGGATGCTGCAGCAGTCGTTAAGTGTGAAGAACGGTCATAAGCCACACAGTGCCACTGTAACTCTGCATAATCACTAAAAGAACTATTGTAAGTCGAGACCACCTATATCCCAGATGTGATGCATTTAAGCATCATATGTTGGTGGTCACAGGCAAACAAACTGTCTAAAAGAAGTGATGCTAAGTCTTTTTCTGAACACACAGGTAGTAATTATCCTGTCCCTTTTCAGGTCTTTATGCAGGAAATAATGTTTTCCTCCCGATGAACAGATAATTAATACTCCTGACAATTCTTGAATAGCGGTCACTTGACTGGAGAGAATCTGAAGGGCTGAAATGCCACTGTTAATTAGCAGCCCCCAAGGAGGCTTAGTTGAGAAGGCAGAGTTTCTGCAAAAGCTGAGGTGAGGAAAAGCTCTCAAATGAATGACAACTCTTCAGGCAGTTGCCTATCAAGTAGTAAGATGGAAGGAATTGGGGTGCTTATTTAAACCCAATTGTATATAGATAATTTTTTAGTTCGCCAATTAAGGTAGCCCTGTGGGAACTTGATTGCTTTTGGGAAAATGTTTCCATCTCCAAGAGGATATATTTCCATTATTTAAGCCCAAGTTTTCCTACAGTTTGCCCTTTATTGTCATTATTTGCAAACATAAGGGAGGTTCTCACCAAATGCAATGCCAAGAAAACAGAAGCTACATGGAGACCAAAGAGCTTCTCTAGCTGATTGTGCAACTGAAAAAAGCAGGCCATTCTGCAAGCTAAAGGAACGTAGAAACTTCCTATAAGAAGAAGGAGACTGGACAGCTGAATTTGCCAAAAAAACAAACAAACAAAAAACTGGAAGCAGAAAGCTGATATCCTGCAAAGTAGACACATATGGTGGCATTCATAAAAAGCGAGTCACAGGGGTAATGGTCAGAAGAGTTCAGACTAGGAAAACTGGGCAAAAATATCTCGCTCTTCATTTTGATTCCTCCCAGGTGCACACACTGAAACTTGATTTCTGCTTAAATTTCAAAACTGAACATTCACATAGTAGTGGGTTTTTTAAATCTCAGAGATACTCAGATACTTGGGTAGTTTCTATATATACAAAATGCACAAAGGATACAGTTGCAATTTGCTTACATTTCATATGGGTATTAAGGTAGCATCTCAGCCTGATGTATCCAACATCTGTTGTACAACAGAAGATAGAGCTGGGGCAGATTTAGGCAAAGAAATAAGCAAACACAAAACCATGTTTTATGTAATAAGTATGCTATAAAGACTGGTAATATAGAAACCAGAAAAATCCACTTAAAAATACCAAGCTTGTGATATATGAAATCTTCCCTTTGTGAAAAGGATATTTGGGAGACGATGGAGCTATCACCAACTCCTACCATTACAAAACAAAACAGAATCAGAATCAAAATCAGAATCTTCCTGGGTTGGAAATGTTAATCAAGTATTACTGATTGACTTCCCCAGTGGTCCTGTCAAGATCTGTCCCAACTCAATAACCCAATCTGATTTGAGAATGGGTTTTCAATTTATGTTTCTTTTAGGAACTTTCTGATCTATTTAAAAATGGACAATTTTCCTGGACAAAGAAGGTTGAAAGAAAAATATCAGAAAGGAAAGAGAGGCAGATTAGACCCGTGACACAAAAGAGGGGAAGCAAACAATGATAAGATCTGAGCTCTGATGTTTTCAGATGCACCACAATAATTTGGCAAAGGCAAACATAAGCAATGCAAGGTACCAAAATTGGCATATGCAATTACTCACCGCCTCTGAATCATCATCCCATTCATACAGGTACATCCTGGCAGGTGGTAGCTCAGGCATACAGCTATGGATACAGCACAAACATTCCGCCCTGTGCTCAAAATCATGCAAAGAGGCACTGGCTTGGAAGCTGAAGCCACAGCCCAATATTTCCAGAAGCACAAAACTGCAAATAGGCAAGAACGGCAAATTCAGCCAGTGGCACCGGCTGTCCTTCTCCCACTTGGAAGAGAGATAAAAAAGAGAAATCTGGGCGAGAGTCTTGCTGGCTCAACAGCTTTTTAGCTTTCAATGCATGAGATCTACAGACTAATGTTTGAAAGAGCCAAGTGCTGATGACGTTCTTCTGAGATGCAATTGGCTTATTTGTTTATGTGTTGTTCATTAGCAAAGCTGGTATGTGGTTTAGTTTATCTGTAATATGTATGCATAAGAGCCTCATTGTTTAAAACCATTGTAGACATTAAGGGTAAATGTCCTTTGATGGAAATGTTTTGAAGCATAAAATTGACCTGTGGCAAGTAGCAAAAGGATTTGTTCATATAAATCATTATTTTAAATTATCAAAGCAAGCAAAACTGTGAATCCCAATCCTTGTGGTTTATTCAGAAAAATTATGATTAAACAAATATAGTGATATGAGTATTCAACCAAAATTCCCAATACTAGTTGAGTATACCCACATCACTGTTTCGTTTAATCATAGTTTTGCTGAATTAACCACAAGGATTGGGGTTCACATAGCATAAGAACCATAGGTCATAGTTTAAAACTGCAAGGGCTGAATTTATATAATGCACTAAGCCAAAATCAAACAAGCCACATTTTCTTTAACATGCTGCATGAACCAGATTTTTGTATTCACCCATATGATCCTTCTGTTACATCAGACTGGTAATATATTTTGAAATTTTCCTTTACATGTGTAAAACCAAGATCTGTGTATTTAAGATTTGTTTCCCACCTAATGCTAAGGTCTCAAGGAAGGTTACAGTCAGTGGTGGCATTCAAATACGTGAACAACAGGTTCTCTGTGTGGATGCTGCTTCCAGAAGTCCATATTTGGGCCTGGGCAACAAAAAAAAATTAGCTGCTGGTTCTGTGGAAGTGGTGCGAACCGGCTGAATCCCACCACTGGTTATAGGACATCCCATTTTATTTATTTCCCATAGCCATATTTAAAAGTTGAAAACTTCTCTGTAATGAATTTGTAGTTTTATTTTTGAACTGAATCCTAAATTCTAATTTTCTAATTTTTTTTAATTGTAAACCCAGCCCAGATTAATGACCCCGCTCCAAAGTTTTATTGTCCAACTATCTTTGGAGAGAAATGTACAGTATAGTAATTTTGAATTCAAAGAGAGAAGTGGGATTAGTTAATCAGACAAATTTCACAATATTTTTCTTAGAGGGATTTTCTCTCTCTCTATGTGGATAATCTTGCAAAATAAAAATGATTTTTGTTACTTTCCTATCATAGCCTGGTTTAAAGAAAAATCAGACTTTATGCAACCCTATTCCCATTTATCTGGAAATCAATCCTGCTACACTTTTGAATAGGGATGTGTCAGATTGCATAATAAAACTTCTGCTTAGAAAGCTGCTTTATGTTACATCAGACTATTGTCTCATGAAGCCCAGTACTGATTCTACCTTGACTGGTCATGTCTCGTTAGGGTTTCAGGTAGCAAGTTTTCTCTGCATGGCCAATAATACTAAGAATTAAAGCTGGGGACATGGCATATTGATGCCAAAAATATCCTTTACTCCTGAGATGGACATTGCTAAGTGATTACTGTATATCTTCCTATAGAGAAGCACATATGTTGTCCTATTCATGGAAGACATCCATCTCCCCTCTACCCAAGTCCATCTTCACCTCAAAAGTCAGTTCTGATGTATTGGTCCTGGCAATCTAGGGTCAGCAGAGAGAAAGCAAGTAGTTCCTAACTATTAATGTGCTTAAAGAGAGTTTAAGATTTGCTCTTCAAGAAAAGAATGGGCATCAAGGACTGACTGGACTTGTCCAGAATGAAAGGAACTTCTGACAGTAAATTACCAAAGATTGGTATTATAGTTCAATCCAACAGTTTCATTTCCAAATCAGAAGACAGAAGCAGATGAATCACAATCACACACACACACACACACACACACACACACACACACACACACCGTTGGTCTAGCTTAGCCTTCCTGTTGGCATTTTTATCTAGTATAGCCATATCTGGAGAACATCAAGTTAGAAAAGTTGATTTAGCCAAAATCATCAGGAAAAAAGAGATGGTGGCAGAGGAAAAACATGAATTGATTTAAAAGATAGGTGACATTTGAATACCAGCACCCTCTTTTATT